TTGAAGCTGTTTCGGTAATGACAGACAGACGGACTGACAGACAGACAGACAGACATACAGATAGAAAAAACGAAAATTTAAAGTAACAAATTTCAACAGAAACTTACACATTTCCTACACTTTTGAATGTGCAACGAGACGAAAAAATGTGTTACTAGCGCACATTTTGAGCACATTTTAAACAAATTTTTTTATGATTTTTATTTGAATTTCTCATATAATTTCGTTTACTTCTTTCGTCTTCATCTGCGCGCACTTGTACGTCTTATTAACTGTTGTGCCAGTGCTGCCAATCAAGATATTAAAATAGTATTTGCAAAGTGGAGCACGGCTTGTATGAATACAAATGGCGGCAAGTGCTGCTAAAGTGCACAAATGTATGGGATTATGTCGACTAATGAAACTCCGACGTACGAGTATTAAAGGTGAGAAAGTAATGCCGAGTTAAGCCGTCGACAAGAAAATTGATGTCAAAGGTAATTTAAAGAAAATAGTATAGGGAAAATGCTGTTGTGAAGCATATGTGTGAATAAGACATTACGAAAAAACAAGTATTAAGAAAATCACTTGTGAAACTAATAATGTCATTCAATAAGAGTAAATAAGAGTAACTTAATAGAAATAAAATATTATAATTAGATTAACTTATAGCATTATGTATATTTTGTATATTATTTAATTGTATTACAGCAAGCAACTTATATTTCTTGAGTAGTTTAGAGTTACTACAAATAAATTATAGGAAATTATTTAGGAATTTAAAGTGAAGTAAATGCAGTAATGCAACTCTGAAGCATTACTTAAAAATAGGAATTGCATATACCACAACTACCAGGTAACAATTAGAGGCATTCAAAATATAGACTTCAACGAAGTGGAAAAACTTATGGTAATATAGGCCATTTACATTTAAACATGTGAAACAAATCACTAAACATTTCTTTGCAAGTACCCACACGTAACAGGATAAAAAATTCAATTTTGGAGGTGTGTAAACTAATCGGTCTGACCTAAATACTAGTTATAAATCTTCTAACAATAATATTCCTTAACACAAAAAAAACAGATAAACTTTAAAACTGTGGATCTAATATCCGAATATGTGGTGGAAATATATTTACTGTGAGTCTGTTGGACAGAAGAGGAAAATGTCAGTAGTCCTTTATTTTTTCATTGGTAATACTTAAACAATATTATATATTAAACTTAAATATATTCATCATTATGGCTTTAAACTGTTAACGTAATACTTTTAATTGTAAGTACCTTACCTTCGTATCTGTAGTAATTACCAAGAACTGGTAACAAAAGTGTAGATCGTTCCTGTAATTTAGACTATCATCATATTAATATAAGGTCATGTAATAATAGTCGCGAAAATGTGTTTGAAAACATGAGGGTAACCATGAGAACTATTTACGAGATAGATTCATACGTGCTGCCTCAAAGCATAGAAACTACATCACGAAAAGAGAAGTAGAAATTAGACTGATAAATAGAGTAAACACCGAAAAATGCGGTAAAAAAGTGGAGGTATGGACGCAGATCGAAAACCAAATGAAAGTTTAAAAGGCCAATATGAAAAAGACGCTCCGCGAAGTGATACGAAAGTGGTTTGGCAGAAAATAGTCTCTCTGAAGTGGTAGTGTTTACGTACATGTACAACATATTAATATGTTAGGGTATCAGACACAACATTCCGACGACAGTCAGTTAGATAATGCATAAAGCAATTGACCTTTACAACACAAAACAAAAAAATATTCCTTATGCAGCTGACTTATTATAATATGAGACGAGAAAAACACATTACATCTCATAATCCATCGTATTCTAGAAGGCTTTGAAATCGAAAAATTTTCTTGTGTGTGCTACTGAGTGAAATTTTTCCATACAATTTCTTGATTATTAGACCAAAAATTTGTATATAATAGAACGATGTTGCTAGCGATTTCTGCAAAAAATATATTCATAGGTTCTCTGTTTAATTGTGACGAAAGGCTGCGTAATTGATGGCTGACTGTAGCAGAGGTAGACCTAAAAGTTCTGATCATTCAAAACCTCAGAGTAAATGTTGTGATAGAAGTGCTGACCTATACATAATTGGAATAGCTAACAATATTGTTGATTCCATAGAACAATTTAAATCTCACTTTTAAGTACATTCTCTAAAAATAGGATAAAGAATGTGTAATCAATTTTTACATACTCAACGATTACTGCCAATCTAAAATGTAAATAAATTATTTCGGGACTATTTTCGAAATTAATAAATCAAAGAAATGTACGTTAAAAACACATTTGCCTTGAAATTGTCATAATTTACATAGCAAAGAGCAAAAAAATTTGCATTGGGCAAAATTTGCACTTACCAACAATTCTCAACTTCAAACTAACTGAAATGGATTACTTTCCATTTACTATTCCAATTTGAATGAACGTTTCACTTAACCTTACTCAACCTAACTAAATCCATAGTTGCAAATATTTCAATTGGGCACACTCACACACAGACGCACCCTCAGGCAAATAAATCATAAATTCAAGTAGAAAATAATGCATAAACTCCACCCATGCACACGTTACACACACTACATACACTACACACACTACACACATTTTCTGAGCACATATATGAGTATGTATGAGTGTAAAACAATGCTCATACATACTCCAACTCAATTCTTATGTTGTTCTTGTAGTTGCCGTTGTAGCATTTGTTGTAATTGTGGTTAAAGCTATTGCATACATTTACAGCTCCTACAAATGGAAAACAATTACAAAAGCAACAACAAAACCATAGCGTAAAACAACCAATACCAGAAAAATTTCAAAGTTCAACCAAAAATAATAAAACATCATCAATGCATGCAAAAAATATGAATAAATAAATATGTGTATGGAACATTGTTCGGAAGGGTGGGAGGGAAGCGATGCGGTGCTCACTTGCACTTGCATAAGTGAGAAATGAGAAATAGCAGAGAAGAAACCAAATGGAAAAAATTGCTTACAGGAAATATGTGGAAAAAAATGATTTATGATGATGACCAATATGCCGAGGGTATAGTGTAGGTATCAGCTTGCATTGGAAAAGAAGCAGCGCAGCAGCGAAAGCATTATAAAGTATTTGAAAATTTGTTTTGTTTGCATGGAAATAAGTGTGTGTGTGTGTGTGTGTGTTGCGTGTCGGTGAAATACAGATATGTGGCTGGTTGCACCACAAAAACAATAGTGAAAATAACTAAACAAAATAAATGCAATAAAAAAAGAAAAATTCTGAGAAGAAAGCGGTAGAGAATAACGAAAGCAATGGCATGCAATCAACGAATACACGCAAGAGTGAAGGTGGCTTGCAAATTTATGCGCCAGACACATTGTATAACTTACGAGCTTAGGGATGAGCTTAGGGACGAGCGCTACATAAATACGCAGCGGGGAGATATTGTCAGTTGCGAAAGCGACAATGTTGCGTATTTGCAGAATGCTATCCTGTGTTTTGGCGCATTTGTGGTGTAAATTATTAAATGGCACAAGTTCAAAATTTGAAAAGTTAAAAATTGGAAGTCATAAGATAACAAAAATGTGGCAACACTCTGTAAATTTTTTTTTTAGTTTTTTATTTTCAAAAATAAGGATTTTAGTTGGATATCACTTATATGTAGCTATGCGAGTAATCTAGGAATGAATTAGTTTTCTTAACAATAGAAAAATACGTAAGGAACATTTAAGTAGATAAACATATAGACAGGCAAAAAGATATTATTAAATTTTGTCATAGTTATCAAGATTCAAAACATATGGGCTCTGACGTATGGGAGAGGTTTGGTTGTACATTAACTCATTATTTTAAGCATACTTAAGATTTAGATATATAGTTAATTGTACTAGATTTAGTTTAATTGCTTGAAAGTTGTGCTTTGCGTGAGTATATATACACATAAATATACTTATATATAAGAGTCTGTTAATACTATCAACCAGTAATGTTAGGCTTTTAAATTACTCAAAAGCATTATCAACAACATTTGAAATAATTAAGCCAGTTAATTACTCAACGTACTCTAATAATTGCAATTTGTTAGGTTTTCTCTTTTGCAAAAAAAATTAACGATTTGCTTCCCTCCGTGTTTACATTTTTCTATTAAATTTTTACTCATTTTTCTTTTTAATATTCACCTTTTAATGGCTTATCTATTACACTGAATTACACAAATACCCTTCAGCAGTGTTTGCACTTATGTAACTTAACACGTACAGACCACTTCGAAACCAAGAGAGATGACTTGAAAGGATCCTGCAACCCTTTGCGGTCAATCTTAAATTTTTGGTTCCTTTTGCCAGCATTTTTCATCGCTCTTCTCCTTCTCCTTGTTTGCCTATTTGCCTACTTGAACTTTATTGTTTTAAGCAAATTGCTTTCCAGCATAGCTGCAATCATTTCTACTTGGTTTCATAGAAGTTAAGTGCAAATAAATTAAACTGACCAGGGGCAGAAAAAACGGAATTGCAATTTCTCACTCAGTCAATTATTTCCCTTTTGTTATCCTTATAACACAATGGCCTCAAATTTCACAAAAAAAGAGTATTAATAATAGTAAAAGAACGAGAAATTGACAGAATTTTTTTTTGAAAAAGTGAAGAGATTACTTTCAGTAATTCTTATTTTGTAAAGTTTTTACGTTTAGAGTTCATTTTTTTGATACCAGAAAAATTGAGATTATCTGGCAGCACTACAAATTAATAATTTTCTTTGAGTTAAATTACGTTTATATAATGGTTTTAACGAGTTTTTTCAATTAACCAGTTAATTGGGTAAAAATCAGTTACGCTTGTCGTAGAAACATCTCTAAGTTAATTGACTAGATAGTCAATTTAATATACGTAATTGACTTCACTTAGTAAAATGCTGCCTTAAAATGTTACAAGGTGGCAACTTCTATTTTTTTATTTTTTTAATAAAAATATTTTAATTTATTTTATTTTTTATTTATTTTTTTCAGATTCAAAATAAATAAGAAATACTGCATATTCGGAATCACATCTTTCTTTGAACATAAGGTAAAATAAAACTAAATATTTCTTGTGAAACAAAACAAATTTAATTATATACATATATTATAAATATCTATTAACTACACTTAGTAAATAAGTACTCACGACTACTGTATAATAAAAGGTCTGACTAATATTTAACGGAAAATATTACTATTGTCAGAGTTCGTAGTCTCAGATAAGATTATAACGTTTAGTACTTGCTTTATAACAAAGGTGGAGTACTCATTTAACATATCTAGTGTAGTCAAGCAACTCTAAATACAAAACACATCACCTCTTCGGTTGTCAGTAATATACTGACTCCTTTATTTTCATGATACACACCAGTTGAATTTGACAAACTAGAGTTGCCATGTACATTTCTTATGTGTAATATTACAATGATAAACTAATTACTAAACTTATGCACTAAACACTTATGCTAAATACTTACTCTAAATACTACATACTACTACACTAGGTACCTGGTAATGTTCCTTACGTTAATTGGATCGCATACCAGATTAGAATTCGAATTATATACATATTTTATTATTTGTACTACCCACACAGTTTCAAAAGGTAGAGTGGTGCGAGAGCATGAGTTATTAACTCCAACACTAGAACCATACGAATGCTAAGTGCTTAGCTCAATCTCCATCAATATTTACGCCAATGAATTTTCCATACATTTTAGTTACATTAATTACTTTAAAGTGCATTTATATTAGCATCTATTCGAATACTAAAGTAGTTATGATAAACCAAATGTACTCTCCAATCGTACTTTCAGATCTCTGACAGAGTGTTGTAAAGCGCTATAGATATTCGTATTATCGTATTGAAACCGTATTATCATAGTTTTGCTAAAACTGCTATTAATGAAGTATTAGGCTTACTGGAAACATAAGATTGCGATATTTTGTTGTTTTTTAAGAAGAGTCAAATATTTTCTGTTTAGTTAAAGACTTCTCTGTTTTACTGCAGTGAAAGCTTTTACTTCTAGTAAAAAGTTAGCAAAATAATAATAAAGTTGGAAATGGACAATTTTGATATGACTCTCTCTATGACTTGTCTCTTGTCCATGATCGAAGAGAGCGTACAATTGCCGTAACCATTCGTCATGTGACTGTCTGTATAAAATGGCTCTAACTGTGATTTACATATTATATGCAGTGGGTACATAAAATATATTTGTATAAATTAAAAAATTTGTTTGTAAAGAATACAAAATTATTTTTATAATGCAAAAATTATTTTTCTCAATTCCATATTCTGTTTGTAGTCGTTCTTTTTTACAATATTTTTTGTGAAAACAACATTTTTCATTTTCTCAATTGCAAATATGTTGCAACTTTTTGGTCGTACCCAACTAGATTGTGTTTCAGTTTAGATATGTATCTCAATTGTTTTTATTTGCAACACATTGCATGCAAATAAGTAAAAGGCACTAAGTCTTTTCTGAATAATAATGTACCTTTCATATTATTGCGACTTATATGAAATTGTTATATCAAAGAAATAGAAATGAAAATAAAAATAAAAATAACAAAACCAAAATACTGAAATCATGTGAAATCATAAACCAAAAGAAGACCCAAATTTACTTAACCAAATATTATATAATTTTCACATGAAATACATAAACAAAGTTGCAGTTGCAGTTTTCCGAGTCTTTCGAGACAATGTAAGCCTGCCACTTAAGTAAGTCAGCCGGTCCCATTTTTTGGTTTATTTAGTTTTTGTTCATATTTCCAAAGCCGAGCCGTAAACAAAGCAAATGCATTTCAACAAATTTAGCACACGGAAGCGACTAAACAGAAACGAAAAGCAGAAATTGTGCTCACGTTGCACACAAAATGCGCACAAAATGCACACGAAATATGAGCAGCACGTGACAAAGCAGGGTTGGCATACAGACGCCTGTGTGTGTGTGTGCGTGGTTTAGTAAATTTGTTTATAATTTTTTGCGCACGAGATACAATGCAATTTTACAAAATAATTTCATTTTTTGTGTATTAACTAAACTAAAAATGCAAGCAGCAATTTGCATTCGAAATGCCTGCATTTCCACACATGCAACCATACCCGCATACGCAGCACGGAGCACGGAGCACAGTTCATGGAATCGGGGATGGCATAAGTAGCTGCTCCGTTCTGGAAATCTGAAACATGCATCCATGCATATGAAGGATTTGTATTTCACAGTTTATTTTCATAAATGTTAACACGTTTGTATGTGTTCGACTGCTTAGTTTTTGTTTGACTTAAAGAAATTTACAACAGTCACAAAGCTACTTCAGTAGCTACACATATGCAAAGAAGAAGGTGTACGTGTGAGTGAGTGTGTGTGTGTGTGTATAGTTTGGCTTTTATGTTGCCATATTATTTCCGTTTGCGAGCACACTTCCTGCGAAGTGCTGCGGCTGCGGCTGCAACAGCAGCAGCGCAGTGCATTCGTTCATATTTCTCTTTTATGACTTTTGTGCGATTTAATTTCGAAACATAAAAATTTATAAAAATTCACAAAAAATGTTACCAGGATAGTACTTTTCTTTACTACTCCTTTTCTGTTGTTACTCCTTAAATTTTCGCTATGTCCTTTCGCCTTTTCGTCTTTTCGCCTTTCAGCTTCTACTACTATTCTGCGCTAAAGTAAATTAAAACTTATTGAGTCTGTTTTTAATTTAATTTTGAATGCATTCACTGCGTTCACTGCATTGACTGCATTGACTGCGCTGAATGCTTTGATGAAGCGGAAAATAAGCACTGCAATTTTTGCTATATTAACAAATCTCTTTAACTTTCTGTTACGCGAAAATGGTTTCATTTAATTAAATGGCAGTTTTGTACTTTCTCCTCTTTTCTTCTAGTTAATTAATTAATTAGTTTTAATATTCAATGCGATACCATTTAATGTCTTTCGCTAAAGAATAATAATGAGAAAAGTTTGTTTAATGTTATTACATGTCGTTATATAGAAAATATTATGGAAGCCATACTCCACTTTAAATCAAAGAAGGGAAAAAATGTAAAATGAAATAAAATGAAATAAAACAAGACATAATAAATAATAAAATGTAAAATAAAATAAAATAAAATATAAAAAAATAAAGAAATATAAAAAATAACAATAAAATAAAAACACAGTAAAATATAACAAAAATCGTATGGGGTCTAAAAATTGAGTAGTTAGTTTGATGTTAAAGGTACTCATCTATCTGCTTGGTAAATAAAGTGTTAAATTTTGTATGAAATTTTAATTTAAACTTAAATTTTTAGCTTAAACAAACTTGATAAATTTACACGAAAATTTTAACGAATAAATTTATGTCATATAAATTTATCTGTTGTCAGTACAGAGTTGCATTCCAACTCAAGCAAATCATTCACAAAAATAAATACTTTTCGAACTTTTCGATAGCGACACAGCTGATCAAATAAGTTTGCAAAAATTTTTCACTAAGTGCGTTCCTATAGAAGTATAAGTAATCGCATAAAATTATATATTTAATAAATTTATGTGGTTAGGTGAATACCCCCATTGTAAATTATCGAACTAATATAAAGAAATAAGTTTTGCAGCTTTATCAGCAGAATATCTTTTTTTTTTGGAGGAATTTCCTGATATTTTATAAATTCCTAAATGATTTATATTAGAGAGTAGTCCTAAATAGTGCCTCAATATCGCAAGCAGATAATGTAACCTATCTTGAGATTCATATATATCGTTTTCAATTAACAAATCTGGATTTTGTCTGGATCTGCCTTTTTTGTTCTTATTTTGTGTCTAATCGAACATGTTCAGAATAATAGTACTATTATTTGTCATCTACTTATACAAGATACTGTCTTGTACTGACATAACAGTATGGCTTCTTTATTTATTTAATTTAATTTTATCTACTTTCGTTACGTTACGTTATTTTGATTTAGTTGATTTAGTTTTATATATAAAATGCCGCATATATTGTAATTGTCGAAAAATGTTGTTTTGAAAAGCAATATTGTCCTAACTTGTGATAGTCTTTTACATTCAGATATATTATTTATTGACGTATTTGTTATTATACTTCAAAAATTTGCTTAAATTTCAACTTTTGTTTTATTTTTATTAGTTAATTACTAATTTTGATACTAATAATGATTACTAATTTTTTATACACAATATCCCATTTAACAAATTCTCAATTCTTTTGTAAAAATAATTGTATATATAAAAATGCAAAAAAAGAAAACCAATTAACATTTTTAATTAAAATCAACGTTTCTTTTTTCTAAAGTTTAAATAAATATATTTTATCTTTGGGAAAATCCACATTTATTTTAATTTCATGCATTGCACTTTATAAAATAATTATTAAATTTATCGTGAGATAACGACGACATTATGTCACCATTGGTGGTTTAGCTGCTTTCATGTGTTTCTGGTATTCATACCATTTGTTGAAACCAGCATGAGCTTAAGCGATCTAATATTGAAATGGCACCTACAAGAGGATGAGTATATCACGTGATTAAGCCATAAATTATTTTAATTTTCACTTACCGAAATAATTTAAAAACTGCGGGGTGTGAAAAACATATACATGCCATTCAATGGGTTAATCAGACGGAAGGACATCGCTGAATCAATATACTTTGCCCTGACATAATATACTTACATAGAAACTGTGTCCTAAATTCGGAATAAAATTTTGTTTTAAAAATTTCTTAACAATTTTAATGAGTTCAACATAAATGCATTAAAACAATCATAATTTTAATTATGTTTTCATAGGAATTTTTTCTTAAAAGAAGCCATTACTACATATATACTATTAGGTATACTAAAAATGTGTTACATTACGTATCACTCCATCTGTCGTGCCTAACTAGCATTTATCTTAATTACATTTTTACTTTTAAATGTAATGCATTCATTTAAAAAACCTATAATTTCCATAAATTTCTAATGTAAGCAGCGTGCTAAACTCATTTGACCGTTTTGTGACATGTCGCCTTTTGCCACCGACTAAACACTT